ATCAAATAAAAATATAACAAAAATCTTCTTTTCCTCTAATGGCGATAACAACAAATGCATCAAGACCCGAGTCGTCCTCCCAAATCGCATTTTTTCTTCTATTTTGGAATTTGATTTCGTCTTTCAATTTCGGGTCGGGTACGACCCAATTCTTGTGCTTCTTGTAAGCCTCTTCAAAAGCTTCTTTGAACCGTCTCAGAGATTCTTCCGCCTTCGCCTCCGCTGTTGAATCTCCTGGAAGTGACGTAATCACATCTCCCCAAGCCATTTTCTCGTATTTCTCCAGGTACTGAGTCACTTTGACCTCGTGATTCGTAACCCAATAGTCTCCCATTACGACCCTTAGATTCGATGTACGACCTTGATCACGATGTATTAGAGATTGTTTGCTAGGAAGAGATACGAGAGAGCTGAATCGTTGTAGAGACGAGATTTGGCGTCGATTTTGTAGAGCAAGACGAGGATTAACCATGCGAGAAGACGAAGAAGAAGAGTATAAGGTCGAAGGAATTGCAATGGAATCATCCAAATTTTGTTTGTGTTGTCTTGGACAAGTTTTTGTGGATCTAAAATTGTGGACACGTATTGTATAGATGTGTTATCCATACGAAAACAATGTATGACCTTCAAAATTGTAAAGTTTTTCCACGCTCCAAAGAAAATGAAGAAGGCTTGCAAGTTGTAGTCAAAAGAACTCAAGTTTGATGTTCTTTGATATATTCAGTTTTGTGTTCTTTGATATATTAGTTCTTAAATTTCAGCTTCTGATCATGAATCATTTTGTGTCCACTAAGCATTGACCAAAATGTTATATACAGACTGACAATGAGTGCGATTGCATTGCTATATTTTTGTGAATGACACATCTTGAATAACTAACTTGGATAAAACTTAAATATGTCTATGTACATGTGTTCAAGGATAACTTGTTTCGCTGAAAATTCAAAACAAAACTTGTAACTTTCATGTGCTCTAAACCCCAATAGATGAATTTGTAACCATAAGAACATGACTATCCGTATGAGTTCATATGGAAAAGTCAGTATTACACAACAAAAGATGATGTCCACAACAATGTATCCACAAAGAACAATAATAATTGTGCTGTGAACAAATGAATTTTAAGCAAGAGAACATTTTTTGACAAGTCTATGAACAATTATGGAATTCAACAAGAACAGCTTGAAATATCTCAATGTTTTCATGAGATTCACGAGAAGGGAAAACTTTGAGATCCCAACTACGAACCGCACGATCCCTACGGTTTCAGCTCCAAACTCGTCGTCGAGCATCAATCTGCCCAGAAATTCAACCACCGTCACGCATCGATTCTACCAAAAATTCAACCACCGTTACATGTCATCCGATTTGTAAAACTTCAATGGAAGATCATCCAAGAATATATATCCAGTCGATGAACACATGGACATGAACACGTGGACACTATGTGGATACAATAAAAAAATCAAATCAATTGAAATCAGAAAGCATCACCATGTTTCTTCGTGTACTTATTAGAAGTACTTCAATCTCTCCACCACCATGTTTCTTTTATTTCTACGTTATACATCTGCATAATTTTGTCAAAATCAGATTCCAAGATTTCATTTTTTCATTGATTTAAACAAACTCAATTCATCAAATTGAAGAATTGCAAACCCTAGAATTCGAAATTCTCCCCCAAAATTTGAAATCGGGTTCCAAGAAACCATTTCCCTATGATTTAAACATACAAATTTGTTGAATCGAAGAATCGCAGACCCATAATTTAGATTTTTTTCCCGCAAAATTAAAAATATGGTTTTTGAAATTGGACGATTTGACGATGACCAGCGCTATTGTAAAGCAGCAAATCACGACTGGGTATGAAAAACCAAAGAAATAACTTTCTCAATCGGTGTCGGTACGAGGGGCCTCCGGCGAATTCCAGTAACGGAAACAGCGGTC